CACACACACACCTAACACACACAACATACACACACACATCTAACACACAGTACACATACACACCTAACACACACAGCATACACACACCTAACTCACACAACACATGCACACATACCTAACACACAGTACACACACACAACATACACACACCCAACACACCCAACACACACACACACACCCTACACATACCTAACACATACATCACATACACACCTAACACACACAACACACACACACACCTAACACACAGTACACACACACACATAACACACAGTACATATACACACCTAACACACACATCACACACAGAGACTTAAACATTCAGTACACGCACGTTACTGACACAGTACACACACGTACCTGGATACTGTCAACATTCCAGAACTCTATGACCACCTCAAAGATGTCGTTGAGATAACTGCGGATGTGCTCCTTCACAATGTCCACCAGAGACGCCAACGTCGCAAACAGAAAGCGCCGGAACATGGGCTCGCCCTTGCGGATGGCATTTAGGAACGGCCCCATGATACTCGAGAGAAAGGGCGTACCACCTTTCATGCCAAGGGACTTGTAGATAAACAGCACAGCCTGAGGTAGAGTGAGGCAGAGGGATTAAGTAGGCACTATTGGGAATCAAGTACATCAGGTGTATGATCAGCAGATACATAAGATACCTACAGTGACTAAGTAGGTACTATTGGGAATCAATTGCATCAGGTGTATGATCAGCAGATACATAAGATACATACAGTGACTAAGTAGGTACTATTGGGAATCAATTGCATCAGGTGTATGATCAGCAGATACATTGGATACATACTACAAAAGATTCAGTTACATAGTGGGATCAGTTGGGGCTCCTTCGAGAGAGAGAGAGAGAGATAGAGAAGTAGGGGCATTGAACAAGAAACTGTACATAAGATATTCAGATAGCAATGGCAATACTTCCACCTGCATACTTACAAGCACATGTACACCTGTACGTACATACAGGCACACTCCCAAACTTACAACTACAACCATACATACTCATACACCTATACAATACAACTCATATTCTTCCACACATACACCGCACAGACACACACATACCACAATAACACCTCTGTGGTGCACGCTGAGCGAGGGGTCGTTGAGGATGCCCATGAGAGCGTTGATAGCCACCGTGGGGTAGTAGTCTTGGTGCGACGGTCGCATGTTGGTGTAGCGATCGTCCAGTTGTGTGACTTTGTGGGAATGGTCCATGTTCACCTGCGACGAGAGACAAGAGTGTGGGATATATGGATATATACACTCAGTAAGTCAGCATTGGTGTATATGGTTGTATAAGGATGGCGTGTGTAAATATAAATGTATGTATGTATGTAGGTATGAGAATATATATATATATATATATACATTATATATATATATATATATATATATATATATAGTATATATATATATATATATATATATATATATATATATATATATATATATATATATATATATATATATATATATATA